TGGGTAGAAGCTGTTTTCTCCTCTCCCAGCGCCATATTGTGGGAGAGCAGATGCATAGAATAAGTCTTAATTCCAGTAACTCAGTCTAGTCCGGTTTGCTCCCCACAGTGGGAGAGCAGATGCATAGAATAAGTCTTAATTCCAGTAACTCAGTCCAGTCCGGGCTGCTCCCCAGACCCCCTTTCTTTTTATTTTTGGCGTTGATACGCGCCTGTCTTCGGTGTCCCGCGGCACACACTCTGCTCTACTTGCTAGAGTTGCCACAGGCTCTTACAAGTCCTATCAGGCAAACCGAATCTGGGTCCTCTCTTCGCCATGTTGTGAGGAGGATTTAGGCGCTGATGCGTGCCTGTGTTCGGTGCCCTGCAGCGCATGCTCTGCTCTGCTAGAACTGCCTGCAGGTGCTTACAAAACCTATCAGGCAAACCGAATCCAAGCCTTCTCATTGCCGTATTGTGGGGGAGACTTATTAGTGTTGGTTTGTGCCTATCTTCGGTGACCTGCAGCTCATGCTTTGGTCGAGCTGCTTGCTGGCGCTTACCGCCTTAAATCAGGCAGACCGAATCCAAGCCTCCTAATTGTTGCATTGTGGGGAAGCCTTTCTGATGTTAATTCGTGCCTGTCTTCGGTGACCTGCGGCGCATAAGCTGCTAGCCGCCCAGGTGCTCATCGCCTCACTAATCGGGCAGACCGAATCCAAGCTCTCACATTGCAGTGTTGTAGGGAGGCCTTTATTTCTCTATTTCTCTATCTCCGGGCATTCCTATTTCTCCCATTTTACTTCTATCTTCCAGCATTCCTATTTTTCTCACTTTACTTCTAAACTTCTGTTTCTCTTATCCTGCGGCTTTCCGGCACCTCGCCCGCCGGCGGGTTCCCGGCTCTGCGCCGCTTCAGCCCGCGCGCCTCTCTCATCTGCGCAGCTTCCCGGCTTTGCGCGGCTCGGCTTCGCGCGCTCCGCGGTCTCCACGCTTAACCCTTTCGCGTCTGAACCACAGCCTACGCCAGCCCGTTCCCTATCTATTCACCGCCCCGTGCTCTCTGCACGCGGCGGCTTCCGCGAGTAACACAGCGTAGCTTACGTGTCCACCACTAGCATTCAATCTAAGTTCCCCGGGCTAGCCTGGCGAATTCAACCCAGCGTACGTCTCCGCCCCATGGTTTGGCTTCCCGTCCTTTGCTCCCCGGGCTAATCAGACGGATCCCAATCTGGCTTACGTCTCAGCTTCTGGTTTCAACTTTTCGCCCCCTATTCCCGGGCTAACTTGAGAATCCCAAGTGGCTTTCGTCTCCGCCTCGGCCTGCCCCCCGCGGCTTCAATTTCCCTAACACTTTTCTCTACCCGGTATGTTTCCCCAAGCTTTCCTCCAACGATATTCCTCCCTCATTTCTCCTGGCCTCTCCCCACAGTCCGCGTCCGAGCCTGTTTGTTCTAGCTTTCACTTTCGCTTTCGACCTTAGAGATTTCTCCCAGCTTCCCCCCGTAGTCCGTATCTGAGTCTATGCCTAGGCTTTCAATAGCTTCTTCCGGCACCCTTTTCGTCCGGCTTTTCCCTAGGCTGTTTGCTAGTCTCTCCCTCCGGTATTTTCCTGCTTCTTCCCGTTTCTTCCCTCCTAAGTTTCATATCCGTCCTAAGTTTCCTATCCGAGTCACGGCACCATTATGTCGCTCCCCGCCTTCATGGGGGAACGACACTAAACCCTGCCTAGGCTTCATATCCGAGTCACGGCACCATTATGTCGCTCCCCGCCTTCATGGGGGAACGACACTAAACCCTGCCTAGGCTTCATATCCGAGTCACGGCACCATTATGTCGCTCCCCCTCTTTGTGGAGGAGCAACACAGGACCCTGCGCTGTTCTTTCGTCTGCTCGGCCCTCCCCGGGTTTGCTGCTGGTTCTTCCCGGGTTGGCTACTATCCCTTCCACCTCCGTGGAAGGGCGGTTCCCCCTGCCACATTCCCCACTTCCGCAGGGGAGCGGCACACCGCCGGCCGGCTTTCTCGGGGGCTGCACAGGCGTTCCTTCAGCTAGATGTTCCCCATAGATGTGCCCGGTGCATGCCGTCTCTCTCCTCCTTTATAGTCCTCCTCCGCCAATCCCAACTCGGCTGCCCACATGCCGAGTACGCTGCTCTCCTCCAATCAGGAGCAAGTCCTACAGTTTATTGGTTGAACTGGAGGCAGCTGGGTAGAAGCTGTTTTCTCCTCTCCCAGCGCCATATTGTGGGAGAGCAGATGCATAGAATAAGTCTTAATTCCAGTAACTCAGTCTAGTCCGGTTTGCTCCCCACAGTGGGAGAGCAGATGCATAGAATAAGTCTTAATTCCAGTAACTCAGTCCAGTCCGGGCTGCTCCCCACAGCTCCCTCTCTGAACAGTGCCATTTAGAGACATACAGTTTCCTTCCTGTTCTCTTGTGTTGCGATTTCTGTCTATGCACACTGAGGTTCTAGCTTTATAGATCCTGTTTTACTCGCACTTGGGTGAGATGGTAGACCTTACTGTCCGGTGAAGTACTGCACTGCTCTATGAAAACATTATCCCCTGTGTTGCTGCCCGGGAGCTCAAGGTTTCTAGGGTTTGGCAAGAATTCTTACATTTCTCACATAGCCGCTAGGGTTCTAGTTTCATTATTTTTTTTTTCCCCTCTGTGAATTTGTACAAGTTAGAAGTTTACTTACTTACTTGAAAAGCAGAGAGACATGGGCAAATTGACAGAGCTTCCATTCTCTGGTTCACTCCCCAGACATCTGCAGTGGCTGCAACTGGGTTGGGGCCGGGCTGGAGTTGGGAGTGCTGTCCGCCTCCCATGTGGGTGGCAGGAACCCAGTCATTGGAGCCATCACCACTGCCTCCTAGGGTCTGCCTTAGCAGGAAGCTGGAGTCATGAATTGAACTCAGGTACTCAAGTGTGGGATGTGTCTTAACCGCTAGGCTAAACACCCACCCCAATTTCTACCATCATGACAATTAAGTCTTAAAAGTTCTCTGTTTTTAGTGTTTAGGCTAGGATCTTGGTTCGGTTGCAGAATCTGTTTGGGGAGTCTGAGTTTCATTCTGTCAGAATCAGATCTGCAGTGTCACATGATTCACAGAGTTGTAAGTGCTGTGTGTGCATTCGGAAGTTCCTTCTACTTGTTCTTATTTATAAATGTCCTGCTGTTTATATTGCCCATGCTTTGTTTTCAAGTGCCGTACCATGTTTTGTGGTTGTACCATAGCTTACATGGTCATCTTTGTATTTGCTTGCTTGTTTTTCACTTTCATAATTTAAATAGTGTTGCTAGTAACTGTATTCATAAACTTAAAAGTCATGTTTGTTTTTCTTTCAATTAGGTCAAATTGACATAAAACAAGTGTTGGCAAAGAAAAGGCAGCTGACAGCTGAGGCAGAGGTAAGTAGCTTCCTCTTGCAGAAACAGAAATGTGGCGTTTTAGGTGAGAGTTTTGTGCAGTGCCGGTGTCAGTGTTAAGTTGTTTAGAGAATGATTCTTTCCCATCTGCTGATGTTTTCCTGCTGTGAGGCGGGAAAATCAGATCCACACCTTGGCACCCAGCAGAACCAGCAGATTGCGTCCTTCTGCGCCCTCCGTCACTGTCACGTGCTGGTCCTTCCCAGCGATCTTGGTTTCAGTGAGCTGTGCTCATGGCTGATGTAGCAGGATGCCTCATGTGATTTGTGAAAGTATCTGTCAGGGCTTATGGTGAACAGTAAGCTTCCACTGAGTGATGAATGTGAATCTGGAAGTAGATTCCCGTCAGGGATGTCGGAATAACTCAGAGCAATGCAGAACCATTGCAAGAGGGACTTAACAGTTCCATAAAACAGAATTCGGCAGTACGTTCAGGAAATCCTGGAGGATAAAGAACTCTTTTTTTTTTTTAAAGATTCATTTATTTATTTGAACGTCAGAGTTACCCAGAGAGAAGGAGAGGCAGAGAGAGAGAGAGAGGGAGGGAGATAGAGAGGGAGAGGTCTTCATCCGCTGGTTCACTCCCCAGATGGCCGCAACAGCCGGAGCTGCACCGATATGAAGCCAGGAGCCAGGAGCTTCTTCTGGGTCTCCCACATGAGTGTAGGGGCCCAAGGACTTGGGCCGTCTTCTGCTTTCCCAGGCCATAGCAGAGAGCCGGATCAGAGCAGCCAGGACTTGAACCGGCACCCATATGGGCTGGTGGCACTGCAGGCGGCGACTTTACCTGCTATGCCACAGCGCCGGCCCCAAAGAACACTTTATAAAAAAAAAAAGGATCTTGGGGCTTGTGTTGTGGCATAGCAGGTAAAGCCACAATGCCAGCATCCCATGTGGGCACTGGTTTGTACCCTAGATGCTGCATTTCCTATCCAGCTCCCTGCTAATGGCCTGGGAAAAGCAATGGGAGATGGCCAAGTGCTTGGACCCCTGCCACCCACATGGGAGACCCAGATGAAGCTCATAGCTTCGGACTGGCTCAGCCCTGGCTGTTGTGGCCACTTGGGGAATGAACCAGCATATGGAAGGTCTCTCTCTCTCTCTCTCTCTCCTTGCCTTTCTCTCTGACTTTCAAATAAATACTCTTTTTTTTTTTTTTTTAATCAAATACTGTGTATGCCTGAGTGTGAGTTGACTTCAGCTCCAAGGCAGCCTCTGATTTTTTCCCAATGAGATTACTTCTGAAGTTTATTGGGCGGCTTGAATATATAAACACCCAATGATGCTTATGAAGTAGCTCTGTTGTGTTACATGTGTATATACTTGCACAGTTGTGTTATATGGAGTAATTTAGATTTTAGATTTCTTTAATAATAATGGTTCATGAAATAATGTTTTTGTATCCACTTTGACATCAGTGTCCTTGTTATTATCAGAGCTGATTTTTCACTTATCTTCCAAGGCCTGGGCATATCGTTCCTCTCTCTTCTTTTTTGCTGGAGATACAGCACTTTTTGAGTTCAAGGATGATTCGCCTACAAGCTTTACCACAAAAACCTGTTTCTTTAACATTAAGAGATTTTCCCACATCACCCTTGTAGGCGATGTTTACAATGTAATCTCTTACTGTATTGCCTTACAAAGTGGGATTCAAAAGATGCATTTATATATTTTAAGTTGGGAGTCTGGACTTCTTGTTAACAGAGTGTTAAATTTTATATATATATATTTTTTTTCCTGAATCTGTGAGCTTGCTGCGTAAGCCTCCAAAACCACAGAGATCAAGGTCATTTCTGGAGAATGCCTTCTCTGATTAGTGCCTTATTGCTGCATTAGAAGAGACTGTTTAAAGACTTGGAGATTAAGCCACTTGCACTTCTGATAACTTACACTTTTGGCTAAAATGTTTAGGCAAATTTAGTATTTTCAGGGGCCTGCTCGTGTAGATTTAGTGATTAAGTAGCAAATTTTTGTTCTTGTGGTTTACTGGAGTGTTTCTGACCCGCCCGCCCACCCACCCTTAAGACAGGCAGTGCACCCAGGGTTGGCTCCCCTTCCTTTCCTGATTCCTTTTCTGTTTTTCTGGTGTTTTGTTTGTTTTTCCCTCTTCTCCCTTTCCCAGCAAGAACACAAGCCTTATTATGCTGTATTTGTGAGGGAAAGTTTCAAATAGGTGAAAGGCCATTCTGTCTCCCATATCATTGCTTTGTATTTTTAAACCATAATGCTAAGGTTTGCACCTTCGTGGGCACTGACTCTGAGGGTCACTTGCCACTGTCCTGTGGGTAGGAGCCAAGGCACCTCTGGTTATGGGAAATTCAGTTATTAAAGTTGACTCCAGAAGAAATAACCAGCAACAATGGAAGAGATTGGGAAAGTTTTCAAAGCTCAGAAACCAGGAGGCAATAGGATTTGAGCTAGGGCTTGAAGGCTGTGTGTAGTGCAGTATATTGGTTGGTAATGGTAGGAAGTTGAAGGAGATTTAAGGTAGAACTACATGAGCAAGGCCATGAAAGAGGGGAAAATGCCTTCCAGTCCAGCTGCAGTTGTCCATCTCTACCTTGTGCCTGATAGGGGCGTGACACCCTACAGGTGCCATTTCCAAGACACAGAGTACGTGTTCTTCCTCCACGCCTTAAGAGCAGGGAACAGGGCTCAGACAGCTCTGCAGCTCTTGTGTCTCCTGTAGGGTCCCCAGAACAAGTGCAAGCCCTGCTGCCTGAACCAGGCCCCCTTCCTCCAGCTGCTTTGCTCTCCATTCATTTACTTCTCTGAATCCTCTAACTGACTGAACTACAGGCTTTAATGCTTTTATTTATCTTTACTGATTGATTGATGTATACAGCAGATACGTAGATTTCTTCTTTAAAACTTTTTTTGACTTAGGTCTTTGAAGCCCTCCTCCTCCTCCTCCTCCTCCTCCTCCTCCTCACTCATTGCTGCTCCTACCCCTTCCCCCAGCATGCACACATTCCTCCTCCTCTTTGGGTTTTGGATTCCGTGTGGTTCCTTCCACGTTTGCTTTTTCGCCCTGTGGAAACCTTTTCTGTTTCCGTTGATGCTTGAGGAAAACAGCTTCCTCCATAATTCACGGTGGCCTCGACTTCACCGACTTGTATTTGGGCCAGTTAGGAACAAGGCCAAACTGCATTTTTCCTCAGGCTATTCAGTTGATAAATGGCACTTAACTGATGATTTTTTTTTTACACAACCTTTAACAAGAACTCATAAATCGCATTGATTGTACTCCAAGAGATGAAAGGCCTTTGGTAATTCAGATGGGGAACTCTGAAAAGATTTCTGTTTCTTGTCTTGTTCTAGCCAGACTTTTATTTTGAAATCTTGTTAAAAGACTAACATTGCCCACCTACCCAAGATTTATGTGCGTTTTAATATTAATTGGATAAGGCTGGCACCGTGGCTCAATGGGCTAATCCTCCGCCTTGGGGTGCCGGCACACCAGGTTCTAGTCCCAGTCGAGGCACCGGATTCTGTCCCAGTTGCCCCTCTTTCAGGCCAGCTCTCTGCTGTGGCCCGGGAGTGCAGTGGAGGATGGCCCAAGTGCTTGGGCCCTGCACCCCATGGGAGACCAGGATAAGCACCTGCCCTCTGCCATCGGATCAGCGCGGTGCGCCTGCCACAGCGCGCCGGCCGCAGTGGCCATTGGAGGGTGAACCAACGGCAAAGGAAGACCTTTCTCTCTGTCTCTCTCTCACTGTCTACTCTGCCTGTCAAAAAAAAAAAAATATATATATATATATATATATATATTAATTAGATAAAGAATCTCAACGTGGCACCCAGTAGACCTCTACAGATAAAAACATTGGCAAAATGAGCATTGAGTTTTTGTATTTGACCAGAACGAGGATACAGTCCTGAGTCCATCGTGGAAGAGAATGGGCACCAAGTGACAGCAGCAATGTCCCAATTCTGTGGCATCTCTGTGCCTTAATATCCTGTTCACAAACTTATCCTGGTGCTCGTGACCTTGAGGCAGTGTCTGAACTCCTTTGAATGGAGTGAGCATCGCTTCTGGTGTCCCTGCAAACTGGAGCACTGGCAGGCTTTCGGAGAGGGCGAGAGAAATCCTCACACAGAGCAACATCCGTGCCAGTAGTTCTCTGCTGCGTCAGTGGGGGAGTGACTCTGAGATGCGGATTTCCAGATTCTTCCGTCCTCAACTGAGGCACTGCATCCCGCGTTGCTGGAAGGATTCCCTGAACTGGAAGTGTGATTCCATGTCCTTCCAGCTCCCTGCCTTACCAAATCAGGTTGTGATCTTCTCACTTTTCTAGTGGCTCCGGTCATTTCTTCTGAGTTCCAGTGGCAGAATTGAGGTGGGGGAAGAAGAGGGGCAAGGAACAACACCAGCTAGCTGCCTTCTAAGGACTTCTTTTCCTAGAGATTTTGACAAATCAGTTTTGCCTATATCTCTGATAACTAAGGTACAAAGAGAGACTGGGACATATATTTATTGATTTTGGGTGGTGACATACCCAGCTAAAAACCAGGAATTCTTGGACTAAGAAAGGAGGCATCAGATGATAGCATTGACTGCTAATAGTCTCTAGGGTGGGCATTTGGTGCAGAAGTTAAGAGAGTTAACAGCTTGTACCACAGTTGTCCATTTTGTTTTGTTCCTTTTGAGCTTTTAGTCAAATCAACCTTCTTTTGGCTGTGCAAGTCTGAGTACACTTTTCTAATCATTCCCTTTCTACCTTTTTTCTCATTTTACTTAAATGCATAGATGTGTTCATCTCTGGTCTACTGCGGAGAATTCTTGGAAAGTCAGTTCATTGTTATTTACAATTTCATCCTTTGTTTACAAAAGGTAGAAAGGTATTTGCCTTGATGCCATCTTAGGCACATTCAACAGATCAGTTTCACGAATACCTACGTGGTCCCTTGTCAGTCAAACAGTATGAAACTGGGACTCTAAAGAATTGGAGCATCGACATGCTTGTTAAGAGCCATGTGTG